AGCCCAGTAATGTCTAGCTTCTGTATAACGCATCCCTCACGCAGATTCTTACCTCACGTAAAGCAGCTGGGCATGAAGGCAGCGAGCCTTGGACTACTAAAAACGTTGCAATGATTGAGATGTCTTTGCAGTGAAAGGGAGGACATCTGATGGTTAGCTAATAAAATACTTCCAAGGGTGAGCATGGAATTGATAATTTTTGCTGCCTAACATGTGTCATCACATTTGTTGGCCAGTGTTATACGCACTGACTATTAATGCCCTTTCTAGATGATCATGCTGAAGGACAGGGCTTATTTCTGCTTCATCTGAAGCCAGATGAGAGCTTGTGTATGAGTGTACATGAGGTTTGAGCCCTGAATGGACAGAGTGAGGTGGCCGTAGCAGAAAACATCGCTTAGTATTTTAGTCACGTGAACATAATTTATATCTCAAGCAGTCTTTAAGTAACATTACATATGATCAGGGTAGCTTTGCACTAGTTAGCTTGGCTGTATTGTTGAAAATGGAACTGCGGCAGCAAGACTCTCAGCAGAGATTAACCACATAATCATTCATACAGCTTCTTTGGGTTTGAGACATTAGCAGTTAAATGAAGTGTTGTTATGTTGGTGTCAGTTGCAGTCGTTGCAGAATAAACATGCTCTTAGCCAAATTTGCTGCTTTCTCATTGTACTCAACAGCAAAATTCCTATTTAGTTTGCTGATGACAGACTTGCCCCAAGGAGCATGAGTTCCCTTATCTGTGAATAGAGTAATGTGAAATGCAAGTATTTCAGTGGTACTGATGTTCATTACTAGAAAATGAAAACAATAAAAATAAAGTTAAACCTTCAGAGAGTGTTTCCATTCATTTCTGTAGTGGTGACTTCAGTTTGGTTTATATACAGTAGAAATCACAAATGACTCTTGTGGTGTGCTTTCACTCAGCAGATTTTAAGTTTGGCAGAGGGATTGCATTGCCTGAGCACATGGCAATACATTGTAATGAAAGTGACAGCCTCATTTTATGATATCTTTTCTGGTTTTAAGAATTACAGTAAGAGAGAATTTTTAATGGTTTGATCTCTTGGTGTATTTTTTCCATGTGTTTCTTAAAAACATCTTGTTCCCTTCTCAGTGCTTTTGCTTCAAAGAAATTCTGTTCTTTTACGCAGGATGTTCAATTTCCTTAGTTGAGATACTTGTCTTCTCTTTATTCTACTTATTCTCTTTTTTCAATGTCATGCTTTAACACAAATAAACATACACACACAAACACAGTCTTCCAGTCCAGGGTGCCTTTGATGCACTGAAAAATTTACTCCCTGGAAGAGGATAATCTTTAACACAATAGCTATCTTGCTACTCCAGTGTTCTCGTGACCTGACAGTGGTCATCAATAGAACAAGAATTACTGAGGAATCATTTGACATCTTTGTGAGCTTGGTGCTCTAGCTGAAGACACTCAGCTTGATGTTGAGACTGGAGATACACAGAATAGCTAGGAACTACTAATGCCTGAGTTTCCTACAGAACACACCTGATGCTATGCGTCATTTACTGCACAACATGTATTTTATATAGCTATAATGGAAAGAGTTTGAAAGAGCCTATCTCTGTTAGAGTGATTATATATTAGTGTTTTAGAAGTGCTTCAAAGAAGATTGATAGAGCTCTAACATATGCAGCCGTCTCAAGCAGGCACACAACAGTATGGCAGAGCAGAAAACTTGTATTGTCTCAGGTTATAGCATATGTGTATATATAGGTATATACACACATATGTATAGCATATATGTTTGAAAGACTCAGTGACTGAGGTAGCCCTTTCCGTCACTCCACTACACTGTTTAAAGCCTGACCTTGCATCTGTCTTTAGTGTAAATAATTCTATGAATATTTGTTGCCATCTTTGTGAGTTCAGGTCACTGAGTGACACGTAGGATCTATGTTCAATTTCTTATTGGTAATTATTATATTTACATAGTATAAAAGAGGTATTGTGAGGCTTGCTTCACCCATGTTTATTTTTGAAATTATTGTATATACTAACCATTAAAATATGAAGCATTGTGAATCACTTCATTTCCTGCTAAAATGGAGATTCTCATAACTAATGACAAAGTGGAAAAGAAAGAAGATCATACCTATCTGAAACTTTGGAAATTTCTGTGGCAGAAGCAACAGCATTTCTGTAGTTGGATTTTGCTAGGATAGCAAATGAATGCCTCTGTGATAGGTTAATCTATTAAAAACAGAGTAGGATGGTGAGAAACAAAGACAAAACTAACACCTCTCCACCCCTCTCTCTTCCCAGGCTCAACCCCACTCCTTCCTCATGACTCCTCTACACTCCCATACCCCTGGGCAGCAGAGGGGCACAAGGAATGGAAATCGTGGTCTGTTATCACATGTTGTCTCTGCCAGTCCTTCCTGCTCATGGGGTCCCTCCCATGGGATACAGTCTGTCATGAACTCCAAGGTGGGTCCTTCAAACAGGCTGCAGTTC